TACACATTGCATCAATCTCTTGATCACCGGGAAGGAATCATGGAAATAGAGCAGCAAAGTGTTATCCCAAATGTCTGGAAGAAGTAAGTAAGTATGTAAGTTGTGCAATCCTGCATCTTGCACACAACCTTGGAAAAGTCAGCCTGGGATGGGTTGGGGAGGAGTAGTAAATGTAGACTGGATGGAATTTGTAAATGGGAGGATTTAGACTCTAGATTTGTATATGGGATGGAAGGCTAAGTCAATCTTGAGCCAGTGAGAATCGAACTGCCAAATTGCTGGCAGTCAGCAAACAGCAGAATTAGCCTGCAATACTGCATTCTGTCTATTATACTTTCAGATGTTACTACAGAATCCTTCAGCTTTTGGTTGATGGAAAAACCAATTCCACCTCATCGTCCATCTTTGGTACCTCTAGTGTAGAGTAAATGCCCAGACTATCAAGTTCAACCAAATTTTTGCCTTTTCATCATGCTTCAAATAATTCAATGATATCTCAATGCATATTGCTGAGTTCAATCAGCAGTTCTTCTAGTCGAGCATTTATTTTCATTGTTCAAATGTTGACCGTTCCTATGGCCAAAGTCCAAAGTCAGCCTGATTTAACCCAGTGATTCTTAGCAGCCTCTGCCTTCTGGCAGGTCTTCCCACCACAGTGGGTAATTGCCCTAGGGCAGTGATGGTTCATCTTTTTGGCACTGAGTGCCGAAACTGGAGCGCGAGCATGCCAGAGCACCGGAACCCAGAAGAGCAGCTGGCTGGTGCACACGCATGCATACCGGCCAGCTGCTTTCTTCCGGGTTCCAGTGCTCCGGCATGTGTGCTCCAGTTTCAGCACTTGGGGCTGAAGACCAGCTGGCTGGCACACATGCACGCACTAGAATCTGGAAGAGAGCAGCTGAACAGTGCACATGCATGCAATGGAACTTGGAAGAGCAGCTGGCAATGCATGCCATAGGTTTGCCATCACGGCCCTAGGGCCTCCCAAAAATGAAGGCAATTTCTGAGGTTGTTTCGGCATGCAGAAGGAATAGACCATAATCTGCCATACTGGTCCATGGAGGTTGGCAGATCTGATTGGTATTAGTCTGGGGTGTCCATCATGGCCTGTTCGCCTTGGGAGACCCTTCTGGACATATACATATTCAATGACCTAACCCACAATTTCATTTATCCACGCATTCATCTCCTCAAGGCCCCGATCATAGAAGGAGAAGTTCAATCATTCAATTGAACAAACAGTATAAGCTCCAAATCATCCAAGTTTATGTGCCAATAATAGGCTATAGTGATGATGAGGTTGAAGAGTTTTAGGACAATGTGGCTCACCTTCAAGACAAAGAAAAATGCTGATACAAGATACTAATGGTTAATGCCAGCATAGGAAGAACAAGACCTGGAGAAAATATGACTGGCCCATGTGCAGTGGTGGGATTCAGCCAGTTCGCACCTATCCCGGAGAACCGGTTGTTAACTTTGTAAGCAGTTCAGAGAACTGGTTGTTGGAAGAAATATCCTTTTGTGTTTTTTCCACTTCACAGGGCTAATCCTGTAAGGAAGGCAGGAAGGAAACATTCTGGTGTTGTTTCTAGCCTAATCTTTATTGCCTTGCTTACAGA